ACATCTGTAGAACAAGTTCAAGTTAGCTGTAGCCACGGTAACAGATCATGACAGGTTGACTCAGGTCAATGACTGAAACTTTTTGGAGGAAGAATTATGCAACAGGCTTTTTGCACCCTAATTTAGCAGATGTTTCTGGATCTCTGTGAGAGAAGGGGAGTTAAGGGAATCTTAGTAGATATGAATGTAGATTGGAACTGTTAATTATCTAGCTTGCAATGAAGTTAAAGGAATTTCAATAGAAGTAGACATAGCCCAAGGTGATGAGGAAATGATATTTAACATTTACATTGTTGAAACTAACTAAAGCAAGAGATAGCTCCTGGTAAGAAGCAGAAGTCGACCCCAGGAACCAGCCTTGTGATTTGGATAAATGGCAAGGAGCAACTGAGTCTGCGCAGGGACAGAAGGTTAAGAGTTCACCATGAAGAAGACATACAGCCTTCATCTTCACCACCCCCTGATGACCACCATAAGGAGGCACTACACAGGTGCAGTTGGGAGGAACTTAGGGAAATGACTTCTTGGAACTAATTTTAATTTGAAGCGGGGATAGGTCATGCCTATGTATAGGTGTATTGTGAAACTCTCTATATATGTAACACTTGATTGTATAAATTTAAAGCGAGCTGCCGAGTCAGGCGCACACAACTTTGGTGGGACTACCCCCCATGCTGCCCAGCGCTGAAGAAACATACCTACTTTATAATCTCACTGATTGTGGAGTCTGTTTCTGCACGTCATCTGTCCGGAAAGGCGGGGAGAGAGCATTTCCCCAGCCCTGCTGCTTTAAGGAGGCCCCATCACTTCAGAAGCACAGAGGACTGCTCTGCACATTGCACACTGCCCGCCGACTGTAGATGAGAAGCCATTCTTTCCACAAACAGGCAAGTACATTTTTAAGAGCTTTTGGTACAGAAAAGGGGTGGAGCAAACTGTCTGTTAAGTGTCCTTGTTGTAGTTTTTGCCTTTTTGAAGTCTCCCAAGGGAATGAGTCCCCTACGTACTACTCAAATGATCCCACATTAAGTACACAAGACTTTTTCCCTTCCGCAGCTCCATTGTGTACAACACACCATCCTTTGTGATGTGACAGTCTTCCTACTTTCTGGAAGAATCGGACTAAGTCAGTTCCTTTTTTCAGACCCCTGTGGGACGTTAGGGAGAGGGAAGATATCCCCCCCCATCTGCTCATCTGAACTGTAAACAGGGATCAGCGTCTCTTCTCTAACAAGACTTGATGAAGTAGGGTGCAGAAGAGGGGAAAGACCTACCCACTTCTCAGTAAGTACAGGAAGTTTTTTCATTTGTAGATCAAAGTTTTTCTCCATCATGTCTTATGTATGCCAACGGAACCAAGAAGCAAAACTGGAACTTTGGAGTAAAAACAAGCTGCAACAGGAAAGCAACAGTGATTTTGTTTCTGCCTCTCAAACACCCAGCTCTCCTCTGCAGGGGATACGGGCAGAGCAGCAGGGCATACCCAAGTAGTTGTGCTGGGATGATTTTTTTGTATTTTGGGGGAGATTTGCCATAGAACAAAAGCTCTCCTACTTCCCCCCACCCCAACCCACAATTCACCTCTCAGCACTTTCACTTCCTTGCAGTAAGGCTTTGACAAAATCACTTTTCTAGTGCTCTATTTCGAAACAATGCTAAACCATTCCTGTCTGCCAGGCAACAAGATGCACGGGGAAAACGCTGAAGCAAGAAATTGCTCAAGCTTTTTTCTTTTTAAACTTACATCAGGACAACGTGTTAAAACATTTAGGACCCTCATAGGTCCTAGGTTAAGGAGCAATGTCTAGTTTAGTAATGAAAATTATGTTATGTACTGGTACATGCAACAAACTATCTTAGTTGAAAGAAGAGTAACAGACTCCAGTGCTGCAGATCAGTATCCTCAGAAACTGCTAGCTGCATTCTCAGTCCGCATGACAACTGGGAGTTCACCAGCAAAGGGGAATGAGTCTAAACAAGCCTTATTAGCAAGCCAGGGCTTGTATCCCTACCTCTCCAAACACTTCCCTATAAAGAATCCTGTGAAAGTTGTGTCCTTGTACTAATGTAGGCTTTTTTATGTTATTATTGATTTTGAAAAGTTCTTAATTATTAAAGCAACGTATTTTGTTGCAACCTTCTGCTTGTACTTCAAGTAATTTTGCTTAACTTAACTTGTCTTGCCTCTTTCCTAAAGCACAAGTACACTTTGCTTTGGTTCAAAAATTCATCCAGCCACAGCAGAATGTTTAAAAAAGTCACCCAATCCATAGTAAATCAAATGGATCCAAGAGGAGACCTGGTCCCGGTTCACAGCATCTTAGACCATGAACATTTCAGACCCCTCTGTCTAGTGAAAAGAAAAAGAAAAACCATATTCCAGCCATCTCCCTGCTACAGACAGACATGGTACACACTCAACGACATGCTGCTGCCTGGAGAAGACAACAGAAGCACAGGTAAAGCCCACATTTATCAATCTTAAGTTCAAAATTTCCATACACAAAGCATTTGTATCATTTGTGGCTGAACTCTACCATGTTCCATCTTTCTTGTGTGTGCAACAGTTAAAAACATTGAGCCTGTACAATCAAGCTTAAGCTAATGCATCAAATTATTTCAGAGTCCCTCTTTCCCAAGGGAGACGGTCAAGATTCAAGGCAATTTACAATCAAAAAAAGTGTCAGTGACAGAGTTGATGGGAGTCTAAGCCTTCGTGTCGACTCTGCAAGTGTAGAGCTGAAAGGAGTTGCCTCCTTGTCCAAAGAGTGGTCCATCAAGCTGGAGAAGAACCACATATCAATACCAAAACTCGAGGCACTGAAAACAGAAAGGTAAGGCAGACACGAAGGGAGAACATGCCCTCAGGTCATCCTCCTCTACCCCATGCTAGGTCAATGGTTCTTCAACAGCCAAAAACAAAGATTAAGACCGGAGAGCATGCCATTGTCCCTAACTAGCATACTTCTGGAGGACAGGAAAGAGGTGATAAAGATTCCTTACACAGCTTTGTGATGCTTATAGATTTCTTTGTAATTCAGAAAGTAGGAACACCTCAACGTGGATTCAAGCCGTCTTTTCTTGCGGTTTGTACCTGCAGAGGAGCATATAGGTCAGGACAGATCACCTGTATGACCTGCCAGGCCACAGCCTCCCTGCCCCGGTCCCTCTCAGACGTAGAAAGGGAACGCATTGAGGGCAGCAAGAATTGTAGCCCATTTTCTGCCACCTTTTCCCACAGAAACCCCTGACATTGTGATATTTACATGTACTCACGTAATGTGACAAAAGACGCAAGCATAAGGCTTCTGCCTCTGAGCAGACTACAGTACTTTTGTTGTAACTCACAGAAAAACAGCCAGGATATTGCATCCTTTTTCTCTTTTAGAAAAATGAATGCGAATCACTCCTTTATTCAACAACTACAGAAAAAACAACAAAATTTATATGTGGTTCATGAAACGTTAGAAGCCTCAGAGGAGACCAGCTACGAGGAATCCATTAAGGCAGAGGGGAGCTTCATGACCAAGCTTCAAGCCAAGTTTTGTGCAAAGGTTTGATTTCTCTTCAGGCTCAGGAGTCAGTCCTTCCCAAACATCTGCACACCATCCAGGCCTAGTGTCGTGGTTTAACCCCAGCCAGCAACTAAGCACCACACAGCCGCTCGCTCACTTCCCCCCCACCCAGTGGGATGGGGGAGAAAATCAGGGAAAAAAGTAAAACTCATGGGTTGAGATAAAGACAGCTTAATAGGACAGAAAGGAATTAAGAAAAAAATACAATAATAGAAGAATTGGAATATACAAAACAAGTGACACACAATGCAATTGCTCACCACTTGCCGACCAGTTAGCTCCTGAGCAGCACTCTGCCCCCCCCCAGGCTAACTCCCCCCAGTTTACACACTGTGCATGACATCACATGGTATGGAATATTCCTTTGGCCAGTTTGGGTCAGCTGTCCTGGCTGTGTCCCTTCCCAACTTCTTGTGCCCCTCCAGCCTTCTTGCTGGCTGGGCATGAGAAGCTGAAAAATCCTTGACTTGGTATAAACACTACTTAGCAATAACTGAAAACATCAGTGTGTTATCAGCATTATTCTCATACTAAATCCAAAATATAACACTGTACCAGCTACTAGAAAGAAAATTAACTCTATCCCAGCCAAAACCAGGACACCTAGTAACAGATTTTTTTTTTTCATTGACCAGGGCACCCGAGAGAACAGACAAGGCATAACTATACCCAAGGGCTGCACCCTGGCATTCAGGGCAATCCAGCTGACCATTACAGATGGATCATGGGGTAAGTAACTTTCAGAAACTACCAACTCCTCTATTCAGGAAACAACACACAGAAGAGGAAAAAACATTTTCTGAAGTATCATTCAGCCTCACGGCCACCCTTAGTTCATTTGCAAGGACATGAACACATGCAATGTGAGTGACAGAAATTACCTGGGAAAAGGCCATACATAGTATGTAAGTTAAAAGAGCTACTCAGGAAAGAGATGCAATTTCAGGAGGGTTTGATAAAGAAATGAAAGAGGGATACTAGAACTCTCAGCTCTAGATTTCAGGAACTGCAGAACTCCTGTTGAAAAATGGCACAGAAAGCAGAGTTTGTTTTCTTTTCCTACTCAGAAGAGAAAAGCGAAGGAGAAAACAGGATGGCTGACCCTCCAGTGGAAAGACTGGCATAAAAGACGCTTACACTGGAGAGGCAAAGAAAGGACTGAGATCCACAAAATCTGCTGCAGGATTTTAGAGGTCACATTTGGCTTGCTTCCCCTATGCTCTGTGCTTCCCGTGCCTGCATGGATCTTTTTGAGTATAAGCTATCGTTCTAATTTACTCGTATTTTAACACACTTACTGGCCGATACAGATGCTAACACAAGGCACATGACAGCAGGGAATGAGGTCTAGTAATAATGAGTTTTAAATGAACAGGAAGAAAACAGATGCACTGGAGAAGAGTGCAAACACCAGTCTGACCTACAACTAGCACATGAGATTTCAGACCTGGGATACCAGTATCTTCAGACTTAAAAACCACCCTGGTAAAAAAATACTTTAAGTATTTTCTAAATCAGCAATGCCCTTTTTATTCTGTTGCAGATCTTCAATATTTCCCAGAATCTTCCAGAATGTTTGTATGTGATGGTAAGCAATGTATTTTACTACTTCTGCTTGCACTACTTTTACCCCCTTTGGGCAAGATGGAATCTCTCAGGATAAACACAAACCACCAAAAGCGGTATGTTTACTGTATAGTACCATTACCTGAGACACAACAACTGTCCAACTCGAAATTGCATATTGCTTTAAAAAAATATTCATAGAAATGTTTCAAATTCTAAATTTAGGGGTGCCAGTGAACTTCTTGTGGGATTGACTATTTCAGAAGTGACATATTTGGACTCTTTCTGGTTTTCAGGTTCCTCACAAGGAAAATTACACAGACTGCAGGTAGAAGTTAAAGATACTTGTCAAATTTTCTCCAAGCTGTCTTCTGATCTGTTCGTCGTATTTTTAAAAGCCATCAAAGCTGTGATGAGAGACAGGAACCTCTTTGAAGAGCTGACCCACAAAGTAAGCAAAGTTCCTCTTACTGCCAGGAGAGACATCCGTGATCATACCTCTTGCCCCAGAAGTCATCTCTCCTGTGCCACAACTACCAATCCAAAAATCCTTCACTTGGTGTATCTGTCTGGTCTCCATCACCATACAGAGAAAGAAAGTGCTCAGGACAGAGACAACTGCTGAAATATGTCCTGAATACAGCCTAGCAGAATTACCTGAAGGTATCAAAGCATTTAAATTTCACATTCAGTCCTTAAGTGGCACTGGTGTGAATGCTAAAGCCTCAATTACAGCCTCATAAATGGCTTAAGGAGGAGAGACACATACTAGATGACTGTTCATATGCTTCTGTAGTTAGCCTGGAAGGGACTATCAGCACCCCCTTCTCTTAAATCCTGACGTTTCTTTTTCTTATCCCCCTAGATGGAAGCAGTTCTTGATGAAACCGGTAGTTGTGAGCTGAAAACAGAAAGCCCAGACTTAAAAGACCTGTTGAGCAGCTTACAGGATTCTTCAAGACATCTTCTCCTTAAGCTGGCAGAAGCAATCACCTACACTCTTGATGCGTTAGATGGTAAGGCTTTCTGGCCATTTTAATAAGAGATATCCAGTAGCACCAGGATATATTAAAAGCATTCCTACCAACAAGACTAGCAGAATATATAAAGCTTACAGAGTGCGAGAGACTTGCAGAGGATTTACGTGAAATAATTTCTTAGATTGTGGGAATGAAGGTGATCTATGCTGAGAGCACAGACCTGTCCGTACCAGCTACTGTTCAGCGACAGTCGCAATGTCGCAGAGCGGCAACTGCCAGAGGCATGACACTGAATTACCGCTCAGTCCAGGAACAGCGTGAACAAGGGGATCCTTGAAAAGAGGGCTTGAAATCAGAATTAAAATGTGGGTAAAAATGGCAAGATTACCTTACAGAAAGAGCAGCACAAATTCCAGGGTTCTTTTTCCCAAGGCTGCCACAAAATATGGCTTGAGCCTCCTCCTCACCCACCTTGGTCTCTATACTTTTGATATGAGAATCATCTGTACCCAGAGTAACAACTGTATTCATCTCACAGGGAGGCTGCACTAATAATTTAGCTTAAAACATCTGAAGAACTTTTGACCAAACAGGCATTCCCTGAAAGACAGTTGATGGTCACCCTTCATACCTCACCAGTTGTCTCTAAAACATTGATGGTGGGGTTTTTTTGGTACAAACCTGTTTTAATTCTGCAGAGCTAACAGAAGATCAGCTGCTGCTGTTGCTAGAGTCCTTGGAAGAGAAGATTGTGTCCCAACAGCTTAAGCTGGTGAGAGAACATGCATTGCATTTGGCTCAAAATGAAGGGGGAGGGGGAGTGTTATTTTAAGTAAAGCAACATTTAGGTGATGATATAGGAAGCAGTATCACAACTTACACTGGGAAGAAGGGAAGGAATAATTGCTTCAAACTCGGCAGGGATCAAAATACTCACTTTGAAAGAAATCACCCCAAAACATCAAGACCTGAGAATTCTAACAACTGTTTTGCTGATAATAAACATTAAATTGGACACAGCTGATGACCATTTTTCTTGAAATGGTAGTCAGAATTTTCTGGCTGCTTTGGCTCCAGGTTAAAAAAAAACAACAAAAAAAACACACTACAATTTTAATTTCTTGGACATAACTAATTCACAAGAAACTGGGAACTGAATACATGAGCATGACAATCTTTCAGGGTGAAAAGTGCCACACATGGGTTATTTAGTGTGCCTGTAAGATAGTAAAGCACTTCACAAGTCAAAGAGATCATTTCCTTATTTGACTTCCACAGAAGGGAGCATTAAAATACTGATTTTGATTTTTCTATTGTTGCTGTGAAGGTTGAGAGCATCTTGGAACACGACATGGAAGACAGAGAGGAGCATTTCAGTGTGGATGCCAGCTTGCTCTCCTTCTCACAAGAGAGGGAACAAAAATTAACCATTGCAATGGTCGAGATGAGTGGAGTCAAGCTCCAGAAAGACGGATCAGTTGTCTGTACAAAAGCCTTCTTCGCCGTAGCAGCCCTGTATGTGTCTCTATATGTCCTCGACCTTTTGAGTAACTCAGATTAGGTTATACATGTCCTCCCATTAGGGAGGATTTAAAGGTAATCACTCGATAATGTATTTGAAAGTCTCTTCCTGCAAGCCAGTTTCTCTCTGCAGACTTTACCCCTACATAGGCCAGGCATTCCTCACCGCCACTCACTCTACACAGATGAGTGCTGCTTTGAAATGAGTAGGAAAAGCAGACTTAAGGCAAGAAAACTCCTTGTAGAAGCCAGAAGCTAGATACCAAAATTGATTTTTCATTCCCCCCATACAAATGCAGAGTGCCATCTGAAAAATCCACCAGCCCAAATAATCGCAAGCCTGTCAGCTGCGCTTTGCGTGATACTGGTTCTCATAAAACATGCTAGCACACAGCCACTCATGCAGCCAGTAAGGAACAAAGGAATACCTCAGCAATAATTCACTTACCCTGGTCACACCTGTGATTCACGTGTGACTCAGTAAGCTGGGAAGCGTTAGAAAGCTGAGGGATCTCACAGCATTTTAATGACACACACCTGGTGAAACAGCACCTCCATCACAAGATTACACACCCCACAAGCAGCGACAAGGAATAAGCTACAACATTTCAGAACAACGCTACAGATATTTTGATGAATGCTTTATAAATAAAGAGAATAACTTCTCACTGAATGACTGGACATTCTTAAAGGCAATTTTTAAGTTTACAGGTATTTTCAGTCACCCAGCGGTGCTGCCTGCCTGGAGACCCGGCTCCCCACAGACCCGAGGCCTGGGAGGGTCCCTCAGGCTCCTGGGGGAAGGGGGTGCCCTCAGCAAAGGGTAGCGCCGCTCACCTGGCCGGTCACCGAGGGCACCGCTGTCACGAGGGGTCTGGCCATGCTCTACAGCAGTCGACGAGGGGAGCCTGGCCCTGGCTCCGAGCCCCTCAAGGACGTGGGGAGCGGGGGGCACAGCGGCCGCTCCCTGGCAGAAGCCCGGGCCTCGCACCTCGCCTCAGGGCGGCAGGCCAGCAGCGTCTGCGCATGCGCGGAACAACAGGCGGGAACACCCCGGCCACCGACAGAAATACCCGAGCGTCCGGCGGAAACACCCGAGAGAGCGCGGCCGGAAACACCCGAGAGCTCTTCGGCCGCTTCGGAAAGAGCCGAGAAAGTGTCGTGCTCGGTGCTCGATCGCGCGGGCCTGGCGGGTTAAGGCAAGGTGCGGCTAGTCGAGCCTGGCGACTCCCGGCGTCCCCCGCGGTTGTTGCAGTGTCACGGCCGGCCCCGGCGCGCCCGGCCATGAAGCAGGAGGGCGCGTCCCGCCGCCGCGGCGACAAGGCCAAGGCCCCCCCCGACGGGCCGCCCCCCGCTCCCCCCGACGTGGAGATGCAGGAGGAGGCAGCGGCGGCCGAAATGGCCGGGGAGCGGCAACCGCAGCGGGAGCTTGACGCCATCACGTTGGAGGGTGAGGGGCGGGGGGGGCACACAGGAGGGGGGTCACTGTAACGGGGATCTGGGGGA